GTCACAAATAGATATGTGCATTTGTTTCATGATCTGCTTAACAATAGCGGAATGATGGCCATTTTAAGGCCGAAAATGCATCAAAATCACATATTTTCACAATTCCAGAACCGGATCTCAGTCATGCATGGATGGATTTTGTTCAGATTTAGCACAATGTGTTGTACATATGCAGGTGCATTTCGGTCATGATCTGCTTTGAATGTATATGTCACTCAAATATGAACGGAACGGGGACGTGTCATTGACAATGACTTGTTTTAAATAATTTTGACCCAAATGGTCATAATTTCCTATTGACTACAAAGTTTTGATCAAAAATTCTCCAAAAATATGAATAAAAATTGGACCAGTTTATGTTGTGAATTGTGACAAAAGTTGACTATCTATTTCAAGAATACAAATTTTAGTGATCACGTGACTTATTCTGCCATGTCTCCTCTCTTCAAGATGGCATAAAATACTTAAAAATCTTCTTTTTCAGAACCAAGGAACACATGGATCTAATATTTAGTTTTTAGAGTCTATGAACCGAGCTCATTAAAGTTTGTGGAGCTCATACATGTAGTTCAGCTGCCATTTTTTATTTCTTCTAAACAGGAAGTTGTTTTTTACTGATGCCACATGCATCTAATTATTTTGAAATATCCCATGTTGCATCTCTTTACTACCTACTCAATTACTTTGTATGTAGGCACCATGGGCAGACAGATGTCTGTGAGATTTTTTTGTTTTAATAACAATATGTCCAATCTGTATTTTTTGCAAATATTTTTGATAAAAAGTACTATATTTGATTTCTTCTTGAAAACTACCATCTCAGTTGCTTTGATATTTGGTAAGTAGTAGGTTGATCTCTGAAAGATTTGTTCATTTTGTGCTGATATTCTCAATTTTCTATTTTTAACAAATATTTGTGTCATTTTGGGATTGATTCTACACGTGAGACTGCTAGAGATACTACAAAATGCTCTCATAAATTTAGTAAATTCAGCATTCAACTCTTTAAACCATATGTATAGTTGTTGTTCAAATTTGGAACACTGCCCTCAATGATATTTAATATTATGCAGACTGACACATGGGTGGTGATATACCATATGTGATATTTTATTAGACACATAAAATCCTTAGGAAGAGATAAAAAGGGTCTTACAGAAAGAAATTTAAAAACTATAATCTAAAAAGAAAAAAAAACCTATTCTAAAAATATAAAACAAAACAAAAACAAATATGAATAAACAATAAAGACAATTTGCAGCCAATGGTGATAATGATTTGTGTCTGTACCATCTTATTCCACCAATACTTGAATTGAAATGCAGTTTAGTACACAGAAACAATTTCGGTGCACACATAGTAATTAGGTACTTTGCATGGTAACCTGTTTTAACATTTTCTTTGTGTATGTTTACATAAATTCATTGAAAAAATATGACACGTTTGCTGTTAGTGTAAATTAATATACCTGGTATGATGATAGTTTCTAATTCTTTTGCTCAAAAGAACTGAAACATGGTACATGCATACTGTGCGTTTGATTCAATCACAAATATTAGTATGAAAACAGTTTGATCAAATTAATTGCAAATTGGTACATGCAAACTGCTTGTGTAGTTGCACAACTGTTCTTTTAAAATTATGGCTTTCTGTGTTTACACAGAGATCACATGACTATACACGTCCATACACAGACACTATATCTTGTCGATTGCATATCCAGTGTGAAATAAGCTTTCCATCAATATATAGCTTTGTGTGGTTCAGTAAATATTTTATATGAAAATATCAGTTTAGAAAATCAATACCAAAAACGTGTACAGCATCCTTAAATATAATTAGCTAATATGCACAATTAATTGTTTTTAGCATGTTCTTTGTGTCTCTGTATGTTCACCTTTGCCATCATTGTGCATTTATTATGCCAATTCCTCACCAATATAAACTTGTATTCACTGTCGATGAAACCAAACTACGACACACACTATGGTGCATTCCCATGGTAAATGGAATGCAAAGTCTTGGGTTTTTTGTCAGTTAAACTATAACGTGATGTAAGATGGTAGAATCTGTTGCTTTGAATTTGAAATTGATGTGGGTTGTTGTTACAGGGATACTAATTGATAGATTCAGCTCCTTTGCTCCTTTTCCTCACACAATTATGCACAGGTTTGTAGGGACAGCCATGGAAGATCAGCTTCAGTGAAACTGTGGGAATCAGACGATGTGCGCGTTTCTGTAGATTTGCATTTAATAAGAGTATCTTACAGTCTATACATGGTAATTAGCTGAATTTGAATACGATTCATAAGTTATATATTCTATTTCATAATGACTGTTTACTCAAATGGATTGAAACTTTGTATATTACATTACATTACATTGCATTCAAATCAGTTTTCCATTACTAACATTACCAACAACACAAGCTTCTGACATGTTTGGCTCTTCACATGTCTTGCGTCATGCAAATATCTTGTGAATTGCACATGACGTTTGTTTGTTTGTTTTCTAGCAAGGACAAAATGATCAAATAAATGCGTGTAGTTATTTAGTCATAGCAAGAAAACAAAAGTAGATTTAATAGCTAGCATACAATGATACGAACATCCTGTGCAATTCACAGCTGAGTGCTCAATCACTATGATCAAAAGTGATAACAAATCTGTTTTCATTACTCAGAAATGTAAAAAACCACTATATTGAAATTGTTCTTAGACAAAATGTATATGTATGCACTACCATATTTACTTATATCTGAGCTGTCAGGTGATGGATAGGTTGTTATAGTAACGTACTTTTAGCATCTTGGTGACTTTCCTAAATCGCAGATTAATTTTCAACATGTTTTACCCCTGTTGCTACTTTGATCATTATATACAAATTCACTTTTCATGAAAAGCTAAAAATTGTATTCTGTTTGTATTCAGATAATGTGAGTTAAACATGTTTTTATCTTTTTTTATCTTTTTAGGGAGTGCTGGTGTTATTGTAGGACATCCGTTTGACACTGTGAAAGTAAGTATGCTGAGTCTGTGTAGTGGGGGGTGGGTGTGATAGGATGGAATGGGATGGGATGAAATGGTGTGTGTGTGTGTGGGGGGGGGGGGGGTTAGGTCAGAACCACCCAAGGACATACCTGAATAGCAATGGTATAACCCAGTCAGAATGATTACCTAGAGGCAGTTTTGTTTTTATTCATGTTCTTGCTTATTTCTCACTATTATATCGTCTGATTCAGTTTAAACTTTGCACATAAGTACTATAATCATAAGTAATACCATAGATTTGTATAATTGATGGTGATTTTGTAATTGTGTCCGGAATCATTTCCTGTAGATGAAGAGAACTTCAGCCAAATTTACACCCAGTCTTCTTGATCACTACTAATAGTGGAATACAGAATAAATAATAATGGTATAAACCACCCACAGCATATTCCATGAGATTTTGACCAGTTACAAAAAGTAGTCACACAAGCGACATTCCATAATTATAAAATGTTTTGTTATTGCTTCTTTTCAGGTGCGTTTACAAATACAAGGGGCAAGTAATGCAAAGTATAAAGGAACGTTTCATTGTTTTTCTCTGATCATAAAAAAAGAATCGGTAAGTCCATATTCTTTATTTGTACGATGTTTGGGCATAGTCTGAAAACATGGACATGGATTGTCCTAAGTGCACGCAGCATTTAAATTTCACACATGCATCACACATCTTTGGTGACATATGCATGTATAATCATTTCATGATCTAGTCAAGTTAGCCAAGTGACGAGCATATTTGTACCGTCAAAATTAAGCCTTTTTTCGCGAATGGATGTATTTTGTTCAAACTTTGTACATAAATTGGACATTAGGAAACTTGATACTTTTTATTCAAAATGGCCAAATGGCAGCTATTTTGTTTACGGTAAATGCATGCTGTTCCAGAACCATATCTCTGACATGTCTTGACATTATACATCATGTCACACATTAACATTCATTTGTTTCAATATATTCAGTGGCAGGTCACCTGCAGTGCATCATATGTTGTCCCATAGAGTTGGCCAAGACTAGGTGAAAGTAGACGTTACTTTCAGTCTGTCACACATTAACATTCATTTGTGCAAGGGAATATGCCTAGACGCTTTGAGCATCCAACTATTGCCAGTAACTTCATAGCGGGTGCAGTGGCAGGTGGCCTGCAGTGCATCGTATGTTGTCCCATGGTGTTGGCCAAGGCAAGAATGCAAATACAAGACCAAGGTGAAAGTAGACGTCGCCTTTAGTGTGTCACACAATAACTTATCGAGTTCAAACTTCATGATATATCAGAGAGATGCACATGCTTTCCTTTCGTGATCCAAATGAAGATAGACGAAATACAGCTATTTAAGGCCAAATTCTATCAAAGTTGCTCATTTTCATCATCATTCTGTGACCGGATCTCAGTTGTGCATGGACATATGCTATATAACATACAACTGTGACAGGCAAGGCTGGGAGAATGTTTTGTGTTAAATTATTATGTAAAACAGGATGATGAAATTTCTGTTCAGTTCTTAATTATTTTATCATTATTATTGTGTTTTTGCATTGTAGGTATTTGGTTTATACAAAGGAATGGCATCTCCTTTGGCGGGTCTAACTTTTATCAATGCCATTGTGTTTGGAGTACAAGGGAATATGCTTAGACGCTTTGAGCATCCAACTATTGCCAGTAACTTCATAGCGGGTGCAGTGGCAGGTGGCCTGCAGTGCATCATATGTTGTCCCATGGAGTTGGCCAAGACCAGAATGCAAATACAAGGCCAAGGTGAAAGTAGACGTTACTTTCAGTCTACTCAGCACGATTACAAAGGTTCCATCGATTGTATTAAGAAGATCTACCATCAAGAAGGAATAAAAGGCTGCTACCGTGGGATGGTCCCAACACTCCTCCGAGAAATTCCGAGTTTTGGTGTCTATTTTGCTGCATATGAGTTCTTTTGTTCAAACTTTGAGAAACGAAGCACAACTGAGCATCTGGGATTAGTACAACTATTGTTAGCAGGTGGTTTTAGTGGTATGTGTTCTTGGATGTCTACATATCCTGTCGATGTGATCAAGTCACGCTTACAAGCAGATGGAATGCATCATATCAACAAATATAATGGAATTATTGATTGCATTGTGAAGAGCTACAAGGAACCAGGTAGTGGAGGGATAAAGGTGTTTTTTCGTGGACTTAATTCTACACTGCTTAGAGCATTTCCTGTTAATGCGGCAACTTTCACAGTTGTCACCTTGTTTTTGAGGTATGCCAGACCAAAGTCATCACAGCCTAGTGGAGAATCTTTACTGTTGTAGATAAAGTTTGAATTTACTGTCATCGAATTGCACTCATCTCGCTGCAAAACTCAAATTGAATCCTTACTTATGGGTACCAAAAATGGCACAGAATTTTGCAACTGACTGAATGCTGCCTTTTCAACTAATCAGTTCGTTATGTGAAGCATTCCTCATGGAATTGGTTGGCTCTTTATGACATGTTTTTTGTTTTGTTTGGTCTATTCCCTTTGAAGTTTATTTGACAACTTGTAAAATCTGTTGCCAAGTAAGCATTGATTACCAACTTACTTCTTACTTTCTAAGTAAGTTGTGTTGAATGTGTTCCACAATATGATTCAAAACTCTTTGTATGATGGAACTTTTGGTTCTTTAGGTTCTGACACACTACTAATTTTTGTTGGTGTTGTGGACCATTTTACTACACATATAAGAATGTCGCTGCTTTAATTGAAACATCACTAAAATAAGAGAAGTGACATTAGTGTCTGGGAATTTGAGTTTGCAATGGATGAGCGTCTTCAAGAAAATGTTTTCCCGCATATGTATTTTTTACAGACTTTTTCATTCTTTAAAAAATGGCTTAGCTAGTGGTCATGGAAGTCTGCAAATACATATAAACGTATGATATTCAAATTATAGCTCTTTTTGTAAGTCTTATTTTCATCTTTATTGATTTATCCTCAATTGTTTTGCTGATAGGTCAGACGACCCAAAATACAAAAAATGTCTCTTAATATGCATAATTTGTATGCAAATATATAATTTGTATTTTAATCCTAATTGTGGAATATTTTTTGAAACCCAAATGAATCACAACATGTGCTTTGTGTATTGTTTGTAATTTTTTTTTTTTCATTGAAATGTTAAAGTATTAAGGTCAAAGGTGGGATGAGTGTTTTTTAATATTTCATCATATCATTGTTATATGCATTTGTAACATAATCTATCAAGTTCTGTGCAACCCTTGGTTTTATAATTTATTTTTCTAAATAAAGTGTGTAATTTTTTGTTGTTACATAATAGTACTTGCATAAACATACTTGCAATTTGTAGTTGCTATACATGACATGGTGCCGAGTGTTACAGCTCATACTTATGACAGAAGACGCACAATATAATGTGTCTTTAATAATTTAATAAATTGAGTGTTATTTACTAATCTATTCTGCATTCAGAATTAAACTATTAATTATATTAATTAATGATATATTAATTTAAAAAACTAATAATATTTGCTTGATATTGCTTCTTGATAAACACAATAAGGGTATCGATGATCATGCTTATGTCTTCGATTTACTGTGAAGTGCAAGCTCAAGATGTTTTCACTATTTGGTCTAATGAATACTATGAGGTTATTACGAGGATACCAAAAAGTATGCACAGAAACGGTACAGCGGAAGTATCGACTGATGCTCAGCAGAGGTTGATGCGACGGCGTACTGTCTCAGTGCATACTTTGTGGTATCTTCGTAATAACCTTATTATTATACATCTTTTTCAAGCATATGTCATAGGAATGCCGAATTCAAAGAACAGGATCAGTGAACTTCTTTGTGTCCGGTGAGTGCTTTCGCACGTAATCATTCCATATTTGGATTTCCTTATATGGTAGAATACCCTGTAAAATACAGTAAAATTATGGCATGCTGTAACTTATGATGTTACGGTGACAGATGTATAATAATGCTGTTTATTGTCAAACTTTTTCATTTCATGTTTTTTAGATGTGCTTGGGCCAATCACATTCAGACTTCATACATAACGCATTTCAGAAGACGTATGAATGTCTATTCATTTCAGGGTCCATTTCAAGATGGCCCAAATGCCCTTTTGTGCTAAAAATTCATCATAATCATGCATTTCTGCAAATCCAAGAACCAGATCTCAGGTCAGATTTTGGTCAACTATACAATGGACATTATGAAAGCTTGGTGCATGTCATTGTTATAGTGATTGGATTCAAAATGGACGACTGGTGATCATTTTGTTCAACAGGTGCTGTTTCAGAGCAGAGTCTCTGACATGCCTCGTCAAACAAACTGTCCAATTAAATGATACATCATATCAAACATATTAACATGCGCATGTTTCCAGTTCTGATTCAATAGGGACTGTGTCGTAACATAACATGACTTGTATATTTTATTGTATTTCATTGAGAGTTATTGACAAACTATGTAAATTTCTATTATACAAGGAAATAATGTTGACAAATCTATCTATTTGTTCCTGTTCAAGGGCTTGTAGTAAATATTTTGACACAATGACACAAAATCTAGAGCTCTGATTGGGTGAATCATCATTGATTCAATTACATTTCATGCTCAGTGAATAATGAATGATATGGTATGAAAACAATGCAATGATTTATGTTTTTATCTGTGTACAGTTTTAAATGAAGCGTGTTTATAGCTTACTGTGAGTATATCAAGTTTATTCTTCTATTTTTGACATTATGTCCAAGTCGCTATTTAATTCCTAATTCACAACCATGTTTACAATGGTGTGGAACAATTATGTCTTCAATGAAAGACTGCTATATAGTGAATTATATTGTGTTAAGTCTTTATAGATGTGATTGTTTTTCTCTCAGGTGTACTTGTGATGATACTTACTTCATGAATGAGTCTGTCATATGAACCAATAGAAAACAGAATTCACTTTAAGTTTATTCATACATTTACAATCTGTAAAACTGGTAATCTTTATTTTACTTGCATTATCTTAGCAATTTTTTTTGACAAAGTCAACATAATTGCCTCAAATATTTTTCCTTTGTAACTCCAAATATGGTAAATTTTTCATACAATTCACTCAACAGATGGAGTCTGATTTATTACTTCTGCAGGCTGCAGAAAGTTGTAATCACTATATTTAGTATATAGTATAGATACCAATTGGCTTTATTACTCATGAATGACATTGTCATGACAATACCATTTGGCGTCATTACCCACAATGCCTTTAATTGTTGCCATGGCAAAAATGTGCAGTTCCACACCCTTCCATCTTCTGAGCAACCTCTGAATTGATATTTCATTAAATTAGTGGTTCCACTCTGATATAAATGATGTATATTGCAATATTTGGCTATCCTTGTCTAACGGTAATAATTTTAATATAAGGAGCTGCTTGGTTACCATAGCAATACCCCCATTTAGACTGCAGCTTTATAAGTCTGTGTCCAGACTAACTCCATTTGTATGGTCAGTTTTCTTTACTGACACTTAAAGATGGGTGATGATATGACAGCCTTTCTCAATTCACTGTGCTGCCTTAGCAGTCTCCAAAGAATGATTGTATATCGCTCCCATCACTGTTAATTTTACATATCATTTTCAGTTTACGATTTTTAAATTATTTCTTGTTTTCCTGTCATAGTATGTATTTGTTGTATTGGTTTGTATGCCTTTGCAGTGTTCTTTAGTTTTTTGCTTTAAATGTACATGTTGGTCTATTATTTTGTCTTGATTAAAGATTTGTTATTCCAGTACAACATACCGGTAATTTTTTCCATATTTACTTGTATGTCATAATTCACTAAATACAAATGATTTAGACTTGTGCTGAAACCTGTATCCTATACCCCACTAGTCATTAATGTATAAACCTATGTCAATTTCATTCTCTCCCCCAGCAAGGTTGATATGACCTTTATCTATGGTCTGCCCAAAAGCAGACCAGAACTTTGAAACAATTTACACAAAATTCTTTCCAGATAAATTGGTTCAGAATCAGGCATTATTAGATGTACAGCTGAGTAGAGGCATCAATATTGGCACTAAATTTTGCAAATCTGGAAATGGACTGTAACAGCCTCGCTCAATATTCAAGTAATTACCATCCTAGCAATCTAAATATTTTTAAGTCAAATAATTTGGTCAAGAAATAGGGTAAAGATTATGTATTCACCTGTTTACCTATTGCATTCAAACTTCACATACTAGTAAAACACAATACATAACATATATTGATAGACGCAATTTTACAACGAAAAGGCGTCTTTCTGAATAAAAAAAATTATACTTTTTGACCACAAAAATGTACTTAACATGTACAGATCCAAAAACAGATTTGATGTGCATTCGTGATGCAGCACATATTTTTAGCCCTTTTTTAACCAAAATAGGCACTTTTACCCCGAAAAACATGCACATACATAATTAAAAGTATATATGCATCTCTTCCTTCACATTTCGAAGTGCATGTAAAAAGGTAACTGTTTCAAACATACGAAAAATTACAAACTAGCAATTAAATATTGTAAATTTAAATTAAATTGAATTAAAAATTGTAACTTTTTCAAAAGTGCAAAATGTCAAAAATGAATTTATTTCAAACATGTTAACAAAGTGTTTACAATAGTTTCATTTTTGAACTTGCACATTTTTCCATTTTTGAAACTTGCATTGTCACCTTTGAAACACATTTGTGACATAAAAATTTTGTATTTTTGAAATGTCTTCTTTGCACTCAAATTGCTTGCACAATACACCATTCCTATAAATCGCGCCCTCTAGTGGCAAAGCGTTAGTGATACGAAAGCCATTCAAATCGTCCACAACTTTTCGGTTTGTACTCGTTCATCAATGAAGATCATGTTTTGATCATGATAAAATTTACTACGCGCTAAACGACGGACAACTACACAACCAAACACAGTGGACGATTTGGTAGCGGGATAGTTTTTTAGCATGAAAAATGTAAACATCTATAATCCGAATAAATTTTACAAGAACCTATACAATCTATATATGTTTAGAAAGTTCTTGACTTGTACTTATCTATTATTAATATTTTGTGAACATTGTGTTTGTTTTAGCGTCACGTGATTCTGAAAATCGGCGCGGCTGATAATTTACTAACGTGAATACATTTTTAAATGTCAGCTCTACGGTTATTCATGCAACCAAAAACTTTACACTGTTTTGAAGCAAGGGTCATGTAGTTTAAATCCGTATTTCTATTTTGTACATTAAGTTTGTTTTTACTTTCTGAAAATCACAAATTTCTAGCACGTTTTTGGTGTTAAAGTTAGTGTATACCGGTGGTTTGCGCGAGGTTTGTGAAAAAAACGCAATAGAATTTCGCAAATATGTAAAAATACGGATATGAAGCCAACATATTCAAGAGTAAGAAAAACCAAACGGCGACATCATAGCGCTACTCACTGAAACGCTATTTAAAATTAGGTCAACGGCCGGGTAATTGCCAGAAATCGAACACCGAGAAATCGTCACTTTTATGATTTTAAACTTCAATCAAGGTTAACTCCCGTTTTAGCAGCAACAATTACATGGGTTGGTAGTAAATAAATTACCTTGAAGGTTGTTCTCAGGAAAAATCAGGAAAAAATGTATGTCTGTGAAAAAACTATCTACCATAGTTCAAGTATCAGACTATGTAATCCAAGAACGCGCCTAAACAAGATTTATGCATATTGCAATGGCCCCTATACTCTTAGGCTACCTCTCCATCATAATATTTCCCAGCGTCCAAATCACAAATATATGTTTATCAATATGAGCAAGAACCATGCACCAGAGATTTTCTAAATGAAAGCAGACTGGCTTACGGTTTTGACCAAAAGTAATCGTAAAAGCAGAAAAAAAAACATAGAGTTGTTCTGCAATCTCGTCAATGTGAAAGCTAATTGGCTTAGCTTCGAACGATTGTAATGTACAGTCTGAGCTGATGACTATCTGAAATTTTCAAAATAATCGGACAAGGGAAGTTTAAGCTATGACAGCCAGAAAAATATACCGCCATATTTGCTAAATTGCATAAGGGATTGGTCAGTTACTTCGGCCTAGTGGGGTCGGTGGATCAGTAAGGGGGTACCCTATTTTTGATTTTGCGAATAGGGGGGGGGGTCACCCTGTTTTTGATATCATGAATGGGGGTCACCATGTTTTCCTGGATTCACACATGTGCTTATGCATATATTTAAAAAAAAGTATTTCAGAACAAAAGATAAAAAAGTTAATCGTACAAATGTGTTCTTAATAATAACTATTACCTATAATTTGTTGATGCAAAAAATGTTATAGGCTAAATATTTTGGGGTTGAGGTTGCCAAATAACTAACAGATTATGCAATGCGGCTAGAACCCCAATTATACAGTTAAATTTTAAGCACATCCCAAGTCCATGTGCTGCTGATATCAGATTATTTTATTTAAAGTCTGAAGTCACCATTGTATAAAATATTTTACTGAATTTATCCAATTATAACAGAAGACGGAAAGACAACACAGCAATTACTACAAAAAGCAGTGACAGTTTTTGTTCAGCAAATCAAAAAAGTTAAATTTGTGAAATTGTTGATATATAAATTAAAATAAATAATGAATAAATAAATAAATATTTTAAATATGCATATTTTGCTCTATAAAATACCAAAATCCAACACAAATTTAAAGTTTCCTTTGTTTTCATAAGCACAGATTGTGCTTCCGGTGTAAAGCATTCCTGGTCTATAAGATATGAAAGATATTTTAAATCCAAATTAGTTTTCAAAGAGTTCAAACCGCTAGATTCAAATCCTCTTTTCCTATCTTATAAGGGCGTTTATTGAGTGAGTACTCCACAGCTTTGCTTTTATTTACTATCTTTAGCAGAATAGATTTCCCTCCTTCCTGCAGCCTTTTCTGTAGTCATTTTCTGGTATTATGCTTCCCCTCCCCTCCTAAGGTCTATTAAATGCAAACACTAAAGATTATGTAAAAATTATGGCAAACCATGATATTTTCAATGCACATATAATACATTTTGTAATCATGTCAGAGCCAAAACTGTTAATGTTTCTTTTTTTCATGATGGGGGTGGGGAGGGGGTCAGCATGTTTTAAAATATAATGTTGGGGTGGGTCACCCACTTTTTTTATTTGATAGGGGGTGTGTCAACTGAGATTTACAGCTGGCAAAATGGAATCTGCCGACCCCCCCCCCCCCCAGGCCGAAGTAACTGACCAATCCCTAATTACGACCATTATGCAATATACTATTTGGAATGACTGTAATCTCTTTCTGTATATTAATGTTCTGTCACGGGTTATGAATTTAGAACTGTATGAGGACATTCATACAGATGTCCAATGAGATATCGGACACCAACCTACACCGATAAAACCATCGAATGCGCAAAACCGAAATATCAAACGAAATTAGAAAAGTTATAACTATAAACATATTTGATATATTGTCATATTTGTTTATTTTATTAATATTTGTTGGTTTTATTCGCCCTTTATTATGTTTTTATAATATACATACATATATAATATAATGTATCTCGATCGCCTTAATTAGAAAAATCAACTTATGAATCAACACTGGTGCACGAGCCTAAATCTACATCAGATTGTAATTAGACTGACACATCATTTGTTTACGGTGGGGTTATAACACGTTTTTTTTTTATAAATCAGAAGAAATGGTGAACAGAGTTCATTCAGTTGAAACATAGCATATCTGGTGGTCTAATATTCGGGCAAAAATAGATAACCAATCTAATAACGTCGCGATAGTATAGTATTGTTTAATTCTCGTGTGTCAAAAACTACAAGTATTTGCAGCAATTACAATTTCCCGTGGTGCCAATACTGTAAAACCATTTAATTTCACTATTTTTACGTAGTGAGCTATTGCATTAGTTTTATTGATATCCTACATGCTCACGTGAATTTAATTTGGAAAATTTCACTTATCAACGAAAATAGCGAAATTAAAAGCCATCGAATAATTAATGCGCTTATAGTATTACCTAAGTTCGCTCGATTTGCATATGACGTAACATGTGAAACAAAGCATTCAAATCGGTATTTAGGCGCTAGAGCCAAGAATTCTTCTGTGCAACATATAAATATTCGTTCCCAGTGTCTCTAAATTATCGCAAAAAAAAAACTGTCGTGAATCCAACTATTAAAAGTCGGGGGAAAACTACTCACTCATTGGTCAAAAACTAGACCACTGAATAGTTAAATCACTTTTTCTGTGAAGGTAATCCGAGTCGAAGTATGATTTCCAAATCAAAGACAAGTCATATAAAATCTACAAACCTATCCAGATCATTTGTCAATGACCACTATTGAATAGGAAACAAATTATTATCAATAAGTGTTCGAAAACTGAAATAGAGAGAATATATTGCATGGCCTGGCTCATATCGAAGTTATCGCAATAACCAACACATAGCTTTAATTTCAAAAAATGTGTAAAACGGTCAATCGTCTTCTTAAATGCAAATACTCTGAATTTAATATTGCAATAATTTAATATTGACTAATTTTCGAGAAAACCTGGATGATGGTTTTATTTTGGTGGATGATGGCCAATTTGTCATATTATAACGCTTTTTGCCATAGGTTGCTAAACAACATTACGAACTGAGAATGAGTATATCCTCTCGCAAGCCTCTCACTCATGGCACGTGATGAACGAGAGTTGATAAATAGCGTGTAGACCCCCAGCAAAGAAGACGGCGCCATTTTGCTCGGGCCTAAAAACAAGATGGCGACGATCAATGTTATCGGTTCAGAAGTCGAATTACCAGTGCAAGAAGTTGAGGTTGAGACCATACCGGTAGAAAATATAGAAACTGTCGAAACTACGATTGAAGAAACACAACCTATGATCGCACTGCAACCGTTACCAGTCTCTGATCGAGAAGATATAGAATTGCAAACGAGAGAGGAAATTGTCGGCGGGGACCCAGAAGACATCCATGCCGCAAACTCGATTATTGATAGCGTTCCAGTTCCTGCGCCCGACTATATTGATGAAATGCAGGTTACGACGGGGCGACGAGGTCGCCGAGGGAAGAAATCTTCGAAAAAGAACTCTGCGGCATCAGGCGAGCTCACATTCGACATCGACAAGAATACGAGAAAATGGGAACAAAAGCAAGTACAAATAAAAACTCTCGAGGGAGAATTTTCAGTAACCATGTGGGCCTCAGGTAGGAAGCGTTTTGTTGTTTTTAAACTGATTTTTGAGTTTGGATCATTTTTTTATTCCAGAAATGTGTGATAGGCGATCATTTTCGATTCATAAAAATGTTTGGGAACGACATCGGCATATTTCGATGCTGTGTGATCACATGACGCACTATGCATCGAGTCTTTGACAATGGTGCAATGTTTGTCTATATCGTAGCTATTATTTATGGCTCAGAAAACATATTTTGCACTTCGTGGCTTTCATAATTCAGTGTTTTTATCCCAATGTTTTGACTTTTCAGGTTTTCGGCCATTTTGGTTCCATGGGCGCCGCCATGTTAACATGGCGGTCAAACATGGCGGCCAAATTTGTCAATTTTTGACCAAAAAATGCCATAAAAGTGGTTTATTTTGTCGACAATCTCTAGTCGGGACATTCTAAAATAATTTGCGGTACCATATGCCAATTATCATGTGTGATATGTGCGTGTTTGGGCGGATGAAAAGAACTGGAATTTTTCGTCCTTTTAAAACAAGATGGCGATTCAACATGGCGCCGACAAGTCCTTGTTCTTTTGAAAATGAGTTAATAATGCGTTTTATGACTTTGCAGTAAGACCACCGGACAGTGCGATTGTTTTTTTATTGATGTTATTGTTCGTAGTATCCATATCGAGGTGTATAAAAATCTGATTAAATTTATTTCGCCAAGTTTGGACCGTGAAAACCTATCTGACTGTCAATTTAAGTATGATCAATAACAAAAAAGCGTTAATGGCCGTATGTTAGTCTTTAGAATAGCCATTCACAAAATGACTATAACTGACTTGTTTCCTTGGAGAATATTTGGATTATTTGCTATTGTTTTTTTTAGTATTTGTTTTTGTTCTATTATTTTCAATTGATAGTCTATTTACTATTATGCTTTCAAAGTTAGTTTGTTCTGTAAGCTAACCTGCATGTGTACACTGTAGGAAATAGTGTTAATAAACTTATACCTGTATTGCGATTGAAAATAAGTGAAGTGTGTTGTAATAAAAATAGTGCATCACTCGTATGTCATACATGTATTAAAAATATACACTGATGCTTTACTGTGTTCTGTTATTCTGCAAATTTACACAAGTGAAAACAATTACTTAGATTACTCAATCCCATTGAAAATAATTTGTTGTAGTTTCTGCAGATACTTTTGTGGGAGATATGGCTGTTATTTACTTTTCACGAGTCTGTAGGTGTTGAAATTAAATTAAATTAAAGTTTCCTGTTCCTTAGACATATAATAGTACCTATTCCAATTGATGTGTACTGTTCCTATCAACATAAATTACAACTTGATCTTTGAAATGAAATTGTCTTTCTTGCCTCATCATCATTTCTTAAGTCTTAAAAACTTTGAAAGCAATTTTCTGGACTACCCTATTTAGACAGTTAGTAAAAAACTTTCTTTCTCACCTGTCCACAGAGAAAGGCAATTTGTATGTTTACCTGTCCCAGCTGAAATCTGCCTGCATGTGTCTGGTGGACATTCTTGAATTTGTATCTCTGGTCTGTATGACACGATTTATTTGACACTGCTTCAACCACTCACATCACCCAGTTTGTATCTGAAAATCTGGTCTTTATAAAAATTAATCCATTCATAGGTTTTTTAATTTCATACTAACCTGGAAAGCACAGTAGAAATTACATTTTGCAAGTTGCATAATTATTCATTAAAAAAATTGGCAATGATTCCAAATTAAAACTTAGCGGAACAATATACTGAAAACTAATTTTATTACTTTTAATATTATTTTTTTTTACAGAAGAGAAAAAACAACTAACAGATGATAGTGACTTGATAGCAGAACCAGAAACACAGACTGTTATCTTACAGCAAGCACAGCCAATAATTCAAATTCAACAACCTACACAACAAATACTTTCTCAGTCCAGTCACATACCAGATTATTCAGAATATATGACTGGTAAGAAGCTGCCACCAGGTGGTCTGCCGGGAGTTGATCTTAGTGATCCTAGACAGCTAGCTGAGTTTGCTAAGACAGCGTGAGTAATCCTTCATATCTTTGCATCTGGCAAAGTTGTACTGTCTCTGAAATGTATTAGCAAGCGCTCAACAACTTGATACAACCTAGACAGAGATATGTGCCCAAAACAGATGGATTGCTCCCCTTACTTCAGTTGTGTTTAGTTTGTCCCTTCTATCCTCATTTTCCTATAAAGTACTGAGTATTTTCTAAAGTACTGAGAATGAAAGGAAATATATTTTTTTCTGTTAATGATGTCTTGTACTGTTTCATTCTGAAGTTTGTTCTCTTTTCAATGTGTAGCCCCCAAGTCCCAGAATTTATGCTTGGAAAATCAACACCTAATATTCCAACTTCGTAAGTATCCTCAGTGATTTTGTGCTAAAAGTGCACCCTGGTCATAATAACAATAATCTGCTTTATTTTAATGTAGAAAATGTTCTTAATCTTTATTGTAACATTTCACTCTCAGAGCACTTGAATATCTGTTTTTGGCATTGTTTTTGAGACAGTACAACTTCAGAGCAAAATCTTCTTGCTACTTTGGAAATGAATTCTTGATCTATAAATTCAAGATTATAGTGTTGCTTTGCTCATATTGTAGTTGCTAATATACTTATTTTTTGTATCATAGCTTGAACTTCTTTATTTCATTATTCATCATCTATTTTGAAATTGGTGGATTTTGGTAACCTCAGATTTCTGTGATTGGTTCACAGATTTGGTGCAGTGATGTAGATTTGTTTTCAAGTAAGGGGAAAAATGGAAATGTAGGTGGTCCCAACAAAACTGAAAAAGCAAAAAAAAAAACTAGTAGGTGGTTGTTTTGACCCGCAACTTACTGGCTCTTCTCTACATCAATGGGAGTGACCTTCACACTGTATGCTACTTCTCTAACCACACCACTCCTACACCACCTTATATACAGTACAATATACACAAACAAACGCACCATTGTTGAAATGCATTTCTTGTTTCACTTTAAACTCTTATTGTCTGAACTATAGATGCATGGTCTGTTTCCAATTTGAAACTCGGGGGGGGGGGGGGGTCATATGCATTTTGGGTCAGAGGTCATCATTATTATTGTTTAGTAACATTACTTTTTTGTACCCACCATTGAAGTGTTGCTGGTTGTGGTAATTTGAGATGCATAATTTTCAACCTAGTTGTGTTACCCAATACATGTTCCATAATTGTATATGATTAGGTCATATAATTGTCCACTCAAGACTTGTTACACTCTGATTATTTGGTGGTACATATTGAAATTTTGTGTTTCTCTATAATAAGTAGTTTATTTCATGAGCAAAGCAACTGCTTCAACTTTCCTTGTAGCACTGCTGTTTTCTTCCTCTTTTACTTTATATATCATACGTCTTAACTTGAAATCAATCTTTAGATACAATACATGAAACTTTATGATACTAACCTTTAATATTTGCCTGGCCAGCTTTATTTTATGTGGTACATTCAAACTTACTCTTATATTTTTATTCTTAAATTGTGTACTTGTAGACTGATTTACCATCAGTTTAAACACTTGTTACATACTGTTAAACTAAACAGAAATGACTAGTATAATGCACCTTTCTGACTGTTTTTGTATCAGACATAACTCATGAATATCTACCAATGTAGTGCAACCTTTTGAAGATCAGGAAATACTAAGCATATTATCATAAAAACCAAGCGATCTATCTTTTCAACATTCTTGCTAATTTTCCTGCTGGCTTCTAAACTTTAAATGATAGATATTCAATGTGTGTCTGATTTTTACAATGTATCTTGATTTGGTGTGTTTACTTCTCCAAATCTTGATAAATCGATCACGGTTTAAAATAGTGTTAGCATCAGCTACCAGTGGTGACCAATCATTTGACTATTAAGATATCTATTTTTAATAGTCGATATTGAATTAGTGATAGATTCATTAATTTTCATATCATTTCACGAAGACCACTTCATATCATTTTAAAAATAATTCATTTAAAATTGTAATTGTACAAAATAGCACCACTGCCAAATTTCAGATTATTTTAATTATTTTTTGAATATTCAAGTCTTATAAGGTAAGTGAGGCAAGTATGTATTGTCAGTTTCTGATCTGAAGATATGTACATGTAAACTCCAGACAAAGTTGGCTGACAGGGAAATAAGCACAGTTGAAAGAAAATAATATCTAAGCTTAGATCAATATTCATGAATAAAAAGTTGCAACAAATTGTTTGTGGGAAAAATTATTGTGATCCAAAATAATGTTTAAAATTTACTTCTTAACTGCATTGTTCTAATTATTGACTACTTGTGTTCATTACAGAATGAGGCCCAAGAAGCCAAAAGATGAAGATATTGCAAGAACTATAGCATGTCCACATAAGGTATTTGCTTTTAATGCTCAGCTAGAGTGCTATCAGATATTATAAAGTAATGGATACTGTCCTGTGTGGAATGATTTCTATTCAAACTCTGTATGGGACCTTGATGTATGTCATTTTGTTTTTCTGCTCAGTTTCATATTGGCCAACTGGTGGCCATTTTGTTTCAATGAATATGGTTCCAGAGCTACCGGTATATCTTCAACATGCCATCATTGTTGTGTTCAAACTTTATATGCATCATGTTGTTACATATGCATATTTATTCGTTTGGTGATGCTCGTCCTTTTGTTTTTCAGATCAATTAAAAATGGATGATTGTCAGCCATTTGTTTTTTACAAATGTTGTTCGAGAGCCATGTCAATGACATGCCTTGACAAATCATGTTTGAGGGGTCTATAAAAACGTAATACATCATATTGCACATGTGCACATCTGTTTGTTTTACGACTCATTCAAGATGGCTGAATGGTGGTCATTTCAATGTTACAAATTCATCAAAATCAAACATTTCTGCCTTTCTGAAAACAGACCCTTGTCGTATATTGATGGATTATATTGGTACATAGATCTAATTCAAAATGGCTGACTTTCCACCATTTTGTTTTAAAGAATGCTGTTCCAGAACTACATCTTTGCCATGCCTTAACCTTTGTTCATTTTCAAACTTTTTATATTTCTTAAACTTGATAACTCACAGAGACTATATAATGCAATTACTTGTTATGGAATATAACTACCATAATATGCCCTTATGATACTTCCCCTGTCAGAAGCTAAGAGGGTAATTACTACTAGTATTATTTCTGACCGTTTTTCAATTGTGTTTTTTAGATTCTTTGATTGAACTCTGCTATTGCTGTTCATTCTAAGTTCAAAGTTGTGTTAGGATTACGTTTTTAAAAAACAAAATTGGTTATCGTAGGATTTCAGTTTAACAATGTCTGGGCTCTTGATCTTTTGTCAGTGCGCAACTTAGCCAAAATAAAAAGCATGATCATTTGAACACTTGGGGCAAAAGTATTCAAAATCAGTCAGCCATGGCAGAGGTGGATCATGATTTTCTCAGATTAGTGACTGTATGAACAAAATCGGCTAAGCCAAACAAATCACAGAAAAGTTAATAAGCCGTTACTGGTGAAAAGTTACCCCAACTTTGAGGTCATATTTCTCGGTAATGTTGCCATGGCAAATGAACCAGGAATTTTTGTCAGATTTTACTACCTAACTAGAGTGAAGGTGCAACCTACCTGCCGATATTGGCCCAGCCAACAAAATCACAGAATAATTAATATGTGAAGATACTAAAAATCACTCGCACACGCAATCGAAAGTAATTTTAAGGGCAATCCTAGCTTCTGAGCGGATAGCCAATAAGGACAAAAAAGATAAAGAATAGTTTAACACTGTAACCTTGTCAGTCCCTTGAAAAATTATCCATTGTTCATAATGAGGTTGGAAGGTATATTAAATGTATTGAAAATTATTAGGGTTGGTGAGAAAACAGAATTTAGAAGTAACTTACCAGTAACGTTAAAACATATGAAAAAAACATCAACATTTTTTAAAACAAAACTTGTGATTGACATTATTTGAAAGATAAACTTAGTGTGAAAGAGGTATTTAACATCTTTCACCAGTGTTCTCCCCAGGCTTAGAGGCAAGCATGGCGGTCTAATTTGCATGCTAATTTGCATACTAATTTGCATATTTTTCAGGATTCACTCACAAAAACAAACATACAAGACAGTATTAAAATGTATGAGAGACTTTATTTAAATTACATAATACTTTACATAATATACCATAATTTGACAAGATCGTCATTTAATGTGAACTGTTCCATAAAACTTAGTCTAAACTAATCCTTCTGACTTTGTTGTGCTCCAAACATTGGCTGCCTTACTGTAGTTAAACTCGTCATAGACGTGCTTTGAGCATTAACTGCACAACATTCCTAGTGGGAAAAAATGAAAAATAATAAAAAAAA